ATCATCATCATCATCATCATCATCATCATCATCATCATCATCATCATCATCATCTCTCAAGAAAAGCACGTCGACAGGTTGTCAAAGTTTCTGCGGAAAACAAGACGACTCGACTTCCCAGCACAATGACTCGACGAGGCAGTATTAACGAAGTAGTATACGTCCAGAGATGTAGCACTGTGGAAGAGAGCCACCATGACAGAGCCTTAGTCAAATTTAATTGTCTTCCTCCTTTTTTTCGGTAAGTGTTTTACGGCGCTCGCAACCACCTAAGGTCATGTTAATAGCGCGCGGGACACATTAAACAGTTTCAGTTGGTAGGAAATTTTGAGTTTTGCCCGAGCGGCGGCCGAAGCCCACATCTATCGTTTTTGGACCACCAAGGGATCTGTAAGTGCGCAACTTGCACACGGGACCTCCGGGATTTTTCACCGTTATCTGAGAAGGCTAGGTGAAGGTGTGGCTGAAAGGCAGCAGTAAGATTAGAAGGAGCCAAGGGGTAGCAGTAAAAAGGCTGCAGAAAGAGCCAGGAGCCCAGGGGAGGGGGCAAAGGAGATTTTTTAAAAAGGGGAGTGGCAGAAAGTGGAGACGAAAGCAGAAAACAGAACAATGTTAGAGAACAGAAAAGGAGGTGAACGGAAAAAAATCTTAGAGAAGAACATTTTTCTTTGCTGTCCGGATTCGAACCCGAGACCTATTGAATGAGAGGCGAACAGCTTAACCTCTTGACCACGAGACTCCCCCCCCCCCCCCCCCCCCCCTCTTTTTCACTCACCGCGTGAACCCTTGTCCTTCTCCTAGACATGTTTTCTCCTTGGACATCCGTCCTTTTTTTCTTCCTCTTCTCCTTTTGAAGTTTGTGTATGTAAATACGCCAAACGTCCGTCACTCTCTCACATGACATTTTAGTGTGTGTTTTAAAAAAAAAAAATTTCTAATGTATTCTGATTTTTTTTTTTGCTCTTCAGACTGTAAATTTATGCAGACCCCGCCCTCCATGATTGCCTCTTGTGCTATTGGCTCTTCAATCAAAACATTAAAAGGAGAAAGTGCTGAAGACATCTTCCATCTTCACGTCATCACTGGTATTGATATGGTAAGTTCAATGAATTTATTGTCTGTTTGAACGCATTGCATCTTTGTCTAATTACTTACTTATTATTGGTAATCAGTTTTTTTTAAAGCTGTCTTTAATTGTCCGACGATTGTGTATATTGTTGTTTTTACAAGAAATATATTATTGTCTGATAAATCTGTTCTTTTCTTTGGACATTTAGGATTTTTCCCCCGCTTCTAATTATTCAACATTCATTTTGAAGTTGTGATTGCATCTTTTGTGGACAACAATTTGCATTGACTTTAGTGCCAGTCAAGTGGCCTTGCTTTGAGATTTTCCTATGTGATCTGAAAGGTCTGACAGTTTTGTCTTGTTTTCCGCCAGGATCTGATCCGAGCCTGTATGGAGCAGGTGGAGCAGACTGTGAAGAGCTGCATGGCCACCTACGTTCAGCCCAGCCCGCACACACCCACGAAGCAGGACCCCCAGAAGCAGGAGCAGCCCACCACTCCCACAGACGTGCGCGAGATCAACATCATGGCGGTGGACAACAGCCAGGTACACCACGCCGTCCCCGTCACCATGTACTGATCTGTTTCACCACGACCCCCGACCTCTAAGATGCAAAAGTAACGGTCTGAGGAGCTTGGTTCTGCCAGCCAACCCCCCTCTCCATAGACCTTAAAGGACAAGGCCTAGTGTCCTAGCATCTGTGCTGGACTGCCACTGTGTCTACGCCAGTCCCTGCCATGCTGTCATCAGTGAAAACAGCATCAGCAAACGAAGTTCCTGCTCTCTTGTGAAGAAGAAGAAGTAAAGACTGAAGTCGAATCTAGTGACTTTAGTTAGGGATTTGCTGCCGTGAACGACACTGTTGTAACGAGGGGATGTCGGCTTCCTCCCAGACCTCTCTCCACACCCGATGGAGCTGCCTACAGGCCCTGGTATCATCTGAGAACACTCAGGTACACAGTTCACCGCCATTATCTTCATGCAGTGCCGTGTTTTTGCTACCGGGGCGGTGTGTTTTTAATTTGGGGTTTAAGTGTACTCGAGGAGAATGTCAGTCTTTTAGAAAGTTTACCTTTTGGGTACTTTTGAGTTATCGCGTGCCTAAGAAAAATTTACTTGAGGAGAAAATATATGTCGTTCTGCGACAAAGTTTGGGATGTAATTTTGTGCCTTATTGAATTATTCCTAGCATGGTGAGTCAAAGTTGTATTTATGTAATCAAATTTTGCCACAACTGCATATATATGACAGTCAAGGACCAGTCTCTTACTGACTCTTTGACTTCCCACTAACATATGGAAGTGTATTGTGAATAAGCAATTGCAGGAGGAAGTAAAATGAAGGTTACAAAATGGTTCAAAGTGACTGAAAATAGTCTTTCGCATTATGTTGTCAATGGTTAGTAAAGTGTGATGCTAGTTTAATGTTATTCGAACTATGTATTCTGAGTAAGACCTGTCTCATGTTGCCTCTGGTGGCTGTTACGATCAGAGGAAAACAAGTTGTGGGGGGTGGAAGGAGGAGACTGAAAAGCTGTTAAAAGCACACAGTGAGAAAGTAAAACAAAAAAAAAAAGATATATAATATAAGAAAATAAAAAGATGACATAGATGTATCTGCAGTATATAGCCCAACACTAATGCAACTTTCTTGTGAAAGTGGAATGTCTCTCATTTTTTCAAGGAACCCCCATTAACAGTGTTGGGGTTCTGTCAGTGGTATGATTTAAAGTTAATAAGGTGAATTTCATTGTAATCTTTACTTTGCATCACATATTAATTAATCATTGCTGTAGAGGTCAGTTTATTTTTGTTCAAAAGACTTCTGACATTTATAGGACGAGAATCTCTTTTTATCAGAAAATGCCCAGCGCTGAAAATTGTGTTCATTCAAACAACGAAATTCGTATTTCTTGAGGTGGCTGGGGTTTTCTTGTAAAAACTAGATTCGAGCATGATTCAGTATGAATATCATTCAGTATCTGCCCTTTTGAACGGGCAAGTTACCACATCCGTCTCCCCTAATTTGTAACAATTGGGTACCCTCGTGGTATTCCAGTCCTTAATTTATACACTACACTGTGTTCAGCTGTTGAAGAAACAAGTTTGTAATTTATTTTAAATGATGTTCGATGCTGTGAGAGATGCATGGATGTCTGGAAGTGAATGTCTTTAGCTAACCTGTGCAGGGGAGGGGGGTTTGTATCTTGGGAAGTGATTATGAGTTATGGTTATAAGCTGTGAATAGGTTGGCTACTGGCTGTATCAACTTCAGTAGAGATCAAACTGTGTCATTGATGCTGTAGTGCTGCTGCACAGATGATTGTATTGTCCTCTGTCACGTATTTAACTTTGGACCAAGTTGACCCTGTATTATTTGCATGATTTATTCAATGCGACAATGCAATTCAAGAGTGAGGTTTGCTTCCAGTTGTTCTAGTTCTTGATGGTCAGAAGTTTTGCCTAAGCTGAGAAATGGGACTCTCCCTTCAGTGAGGGGTACTAGATGCACTACCACTCAACAAACAGTGATTTGGTTTGTTTTTTTCCACAATCTATGTCCTTGGACCTCCATTTCCCACTCTTCCCACCCGCCTACATTTTGTTGAAGAAGTTTTTGTTTTTCATTTTTAAAACAAAAACCATGACTCTTGGAGTTTGTCTTGTGGCAAGCTCAAACCAAGCCTGAGGGAGTCCTGCGCCATGTGATAAAACAATACCTTTCCCCGCGGGCTCCCCAGCTGCTTTTGTCTGTGATTATGCCCATGTTTTGGGGCTTGCATTTCCCTACGATGTTGAGAAGCTAATGGCTTTTTTGGTGTCTTTATGGGAAGTCAAAAATGTGTTCAATTTTGATGTAACAATTTGATAATAATACTAAAATTGCAATGTTAACGATGAAGTGTTTGTGGGTTTATGTGTTTCAGCCAACACTTGTTTGATAGGGACTTATTTTGTATTGTTTTTGTCAACAAGTTTGGCAGTTGTTTGATTGGATGTGTTCAAGAAGCTTTTAATTTTCCCAGTGGATAGGATGAATGAACTTGTGTGAATGATCTTGTGTATGGTATGATGGAATGAGTACATTTGATTCTACTGTGTGCTTCTGACAAAATTGTACTTTTTTTTTTGGAGAGAAAAAAAAAGTTTTGGAAATTGTGTGTGAAAAAGGCTAAAGGGGCCCTGTTGTGTTCTATGCCCCTTGGAAGCTTGTAAGTGAAACTGGGTCAAGGATAACAATGAAAGATTTTCACACATTGGAATATCTTGTCGGTTGAACCTTGTATTCTGCATTGAGTTTTTGTTCATTCTTTTAGATACATGTGCCACATGTACTGCCACAAAATTTGTCTACATTTTTATGGTTCACGAGCTGCTGTTTTCACTTAAAGGCCTACATTTTCCATCATTTCGTGAACCCCCCACCTCTCCCCTGTCACCCCCTCAACCATGTTTCGGGACCAAATGAACTGTTTTTGACATGGTTTCCTTCAAAGCTTCTCACCAAATACTTGTTGTTTAAGCTGCCATATGTCTCATTTGTTACATTCACCAGACTATAGGGTTCAACTTGTCGAATATAGTTTTTTTTGTGTTTTTTTAAATATTTATGTCACATTGCTGACACCGTTAATATACCACTCAAACAATGCAGGCAATTCAGAGTATATCATCGCTTATCACATCAGAAAGAATCATTAAGTATTAACAAGTTTGCAAAATATTTTCTGCTTTATTGATAGTACTTGTGCATGCATTGGAAGTAATCATCGTGGCTAAAATCAGTAAGAGCAGCATTTATTAGCATGGTTTTCAGAGTGGGGCTCAGTATTGTCTTTAGTCTGAATATCTGTAGCTAGCTTAGATAGATATGTCCAGCTGTGCTTGTGTGTTCACAATTATTTTGTAGGTTTTTGCGTAATTTTGGTGTGCCCAAAGTATTGTAGGAGGTTTTTTTGGGTACTTTGCCACATTAGTTGGGTGCTCAGGCACGTGTTTATTTAAAACAACGTGTACGAGATTAGTGGGCTTCATAGTTTGGCGAGCTGTTGTGCAAGTGACTGACAAGGCGTATGATGTGAATCTCTTGGTTTGTCCTTATGTTCAATATTGTTGTTAGTGGTATGAATTACTGCCAATGTTTTAGCCGAGTTCGGCAAAGGATGTTCATTTCTGCAGCTTACGCCAAGCTTTGGTTATAGTTATTTTGATCATTGGCGTTAATGCGTGCACAGCGACAGCGAATGTAGTAAGGTACCTGATATTTTTTTTTTTCTTTGTACACTGCATCATGCCGGTGTAGGTCCTTCCTGTTGCTATATAGAGCAACTGCAATGCAAACACAGACTGAATGTCGTGGGCTCTTCTAACGTACATGTACAATTGATGAAATGCCTTAAAACTGTCTGCTTACCTCAAGACCTTTAGTGATTTTTTTTCCCCTTTTCGTGCTGTTTTGTGATTATATAAACCAATGGGAGTCTACTTCATACCACTATGATATTTAGTAGACAAATTTGAGTACTTCATATTATTCAAATGTGCTTCTTTCCTGTAAAATCCTTTGTATTGGTGATTTAATCTGTTTCCATAGTAGTTTTTATCTTTTGAGAACGTTTTCTTCTTTTAGAGACTCTACCAACTTTTTAAAGACATTTATTTTCAGAGGATTAAGATGTACCTTTGCACACAGTGCATTGCAATCCATTGCTTTTCAATATCCCAGTGATTGAGAAGATCAGTGAATGTGGACTTTTGAAATGAGAAATTTCTGACCAAATAGATATGAAAGTTTGCTTCTGTATCCAAAAGGCTACAAAAGTTACTTCTTACTTTTTATAACTGTTGAATTTATGTGAGAAGCATTTGTTGAATCAAGAACTTTTTTTTTTTTTTTAAACCCGTACAGGGATTTAGAGTTGGGATATCAATTTCAGGGAGGATGGCTGGAGTGAGATCCGGCTGAAATCCCTTTCACTTTAGGGGGATTAGTATTGCTGTTTATTGCAGCAGACATGTCTGGATTTTTTTGTTTTTCTTTTCTCTCTGTCTCTCTGCCTCTCTCTCTCTTTCTCTCTCTCTCTCTCTCTTTCTCTTTCTTTTTTTCAGCCAGTACCTCAAAGTTGACCGATGAGTAGTCCAGGTGTGATGGCCTGACGTCTCGGTGTGGTGATTTCTCTCTCCCAGCTGATGAGTCGCGGGGGCGCAGCTCGATGTGATAAAACTGTAAAATAAAAAACAAGAGGAGGCCCCCGTGACTTTTCGAGCTCGAGATGAACTCTTTTTTTTTTTTTTTTTAGTTAACCATTTTCATTTTTACCTCTTCGCCATTTCCTGGAATAAATCCCTTTATGATTTGAAGTGGAGATGTAGGTGTCGGATAATGCATATATGGTCAGGATCAGGGCATGGTGCAAGAAAATTTTAGTTTCAGTTTCAGAGTGGGGAAAGTTTTACTTGTCATTATATTTCCAAAGCTTTTTTTTTCCAAAAAAAAGAATGTGATTAGATAATTTTGTGATTGTCTTCAGTTCATTAATATTTCTAGGAAATTGTGACATTATATATTTTTTTTCTTTCTTTTTTTTTTGCAATTAGAGAATGCAAGCTGCTGAATAATTTAATTTTAACCTTTTTTCATTTCACCTGAATAGTTTTTTGTTTGCGTTATTGATTTTTGATACCCACTTTATCCATTGTGAGATGATCATTTATGTAGGTACTTGAATTATGTGTTCTAACATATTTTCAGATGCTGATAGTACATTGCACAAATGTTTTCAAATGTTGGTATTCTTAAGTTTGATGGACCGGAAAAGAATTACAACTGTGTATGTTATAAAAAGATGTTTTTTGTTCCTGTGTTAAAAATCAATGGGAGAATAACATTTCTGGCTTCATGAAAACAAACACAAAAAAATTTTTGCTTCAGCAACTTGTTCTTTCGTTACTATTGATGCCTTTCTCAGTCTTGACCAAACTGTTTTGTCTATGAAAAACAAAACATCTTTCAAACAGAACTAAAGTTTTTAAGCGACGTTAAAATGTTGAAATATGCATGACTGACCTTATGGCTTGAACATGTAATATATTTGTATAATACAATGTTTATAAAGAAAATAAATAAAGATGAAACTATGTATATGGTTTGTTTTGTCTTGTATTTGTCTCTGTTGGTGGGGTTACGGTGAGGATAATAATCGTCGAGGAGTTGAATGTCTTTCAACTCCCCAGTGGGTGGTTGGCTGGTGCTCTGGTGAGGTTTGCTCCGTCTTTCCATCAAACACCTGTCGTCTTTATCTCTCCTACTTCTTTTTTGTGTTTCTTACTGCCTTGTAACACTTCTTAACTTCGGCACTTATATGACCTTATTGTGTTGCAAGTGCCGGAAGACTCTTACTAAAGCCTAAAAGCCTTCAATCTTCCGCTATTATGACCTAATTGAGTGGGTGGTTGGCAGGTCCTTTGCTTGGTGTGGTCTGCTCCTTCTTTCCTATCGAACATCTGTCATCCTTATCTCTTCTTTTTTGAGTTTGTTGCTCTTGTAACATCTCTAACCTGCTGCTTTTTCTTTTT